TTCATAAGGGAAAAAGGAGCCAGACCCTGCAAGCAAAATCCAACCACCTTCTATGAAGGGTGTCAGAAAAAGCAACCAGGAACACAAAAACAAGCCTATCCTAGACTCAACTGCCAGAAAACAAGCAGCATGACTAGACAAAAAGGCATACAACAAAAACAACACAAAACAAACAAATTATAACACAAGTAACTGTCTGTCAGAGACAGAACATCTACAAGCTACAGAGAATAAAATATCACTAAAAACACCAGAAGTAGTCTTACAGCTCCCTGTAAAAACTACAGCATTCCTCTGCAGCCATATCTGATACACAGCCTAATAGTCTATTTTTAGGCCTAGGATTCCTACAAATTCTTGAGATCAATTCCAATTCAACACCAAACTGGTTTACAGTTCTGTCATAGCCAAACACTGCAAGAACCTGTTACTTGGCTATAGGCTTCTAGGATTGGAAAAGACCTTAACATTTACTTGGGGAAGTTGTCTTAATTATTAAGTCGGTTGTTAATTGCTATATATATATATATGTGCATTTGTTTGGCTTTTTGGGGCTATCATCTATGTTATTTGGCGATTGAGGTAGAATTCTAGGAAAGTTCTGCTGTGTAAGTGTTTTTTTTTTTCTTTTATCTTTTTTTTTTTCCTTTTTTTTTCCTTTTTTTCCCCTTCTCTTCCCTTGAGTTTACCCTTTCTATTGGTTCATATGAAATCGGCAATGCACTAAACATCAATTGGATTATTGATTTAATGAATGACCCAAATTACTGATCCTTATTATAATGTGTTGGTTATGGAAAATAGTATAGAATTAATATTATCAAGTGGATATTGAAGTTGGCTCTAAATTAATTAGTGTGGGGTGTATTGTTTGATTCTTGATAAATTGGAACTGATAATGTGTGTTTATTTTTTTGGCTGCCAATTTCAGGTATGTTGATTTACTTTCTGGTTTTGCCGTTGTTCGTGTTGTGTCCTTCTGAAGAAGGTAGCTTCCCCTCGCTTGATTCTTTTTCTTGTGTTTTGTTGGGTTTGCTTTAGTTTTATTATGTATTTTTTGGGATTAGTTTGTTGTCTCATAACTGTTAGCTTATGTTCAATTGTTATGATTGCTTGTGGTGTGTTTGACTTAAATAGTCCCCTTAAATGGCCACTGTTATTGGGATCATTCCATAATTGTCTTGATTACAATGGACCATGGAAAACTTAGATTTTAAATGGATATAGTATAGTTTGTTATGGTTTGGCTTGGATTTCTTCTATGTTAGATTTTGTATGAATTTTGAATGTATTAAAGAAATTGGACAATAAATATTTGTTTGAGTGTGTGTAGTCCTAAACATGAATGTTCCCATTACAGGTTATGGCTGTTCGGTTGAACAAGGTGTTTATCCCTTTTGAACCGCTGCTTGAAAATATGACTGCTTGGCTGTAATTTCCACCTCCTGTTTATGCATTTGCAGATGCTGATAGGAATAATTTTTGCCTAAGGATTAATGGACCAAATAGTGCATCTCGTTTTTTATTTTATGGTGGAGATGCCAGTACTGCAGCAGAATCCCGTGAAAGGGCAGCTCAAAAGGCTGTAAAAAAATTAATTGGCCGGTTTGGGTTAAAGTAGGTGATTTCACATCTGATCGTGTTAAGATGTTTCAATTGTGTATGAAGATGTTTAGGCACAAGTGTGCTGAACTTTTGCTAGAGAAAAGAGGAATACAAGATGTTGGTTCAGGTCAAGGGCCTAATCTACTAATGGAGAATGTTCATGTTGCAATTAACTATGTTCAGTTCTTAGGTATAATTATGAGGAAAACTGGTGCTTCTGTCACTCCTATAGAAACCACTTGGGTAGAGAGTCGTGGTTTTATTTCTTGGTTAATGGTTACTTGTCCTCGTACCAATACTAGGATTGAGTGCATTTTTAGTGATCCTTGCCCTGAAATAAGTAATGCTGAGCAAAGAGTTGCAAAGAAAGCTATTTTTTTCATAACTTGTAAGTGAGAATGTTGCCTCATAAGAGAGAACTTTATGGTTTTAAAGGAACATCTTGAAAGTCTACAGCAAGTTCCTAAACAAATTGACACCGTATCTTGTATACCTGATGACGGATTTACTACTCCAACTGGTGAAGATTCACAGGTTCCTGTCACCACTATTCTTCCACACGGTCCTGTTAAGCGTAAAAAGATGTTAGAGTTTTCTTATGTGAAGGACATGTGCGCAGGGACTTCTAATAGGATGGTGGTTGAACTTCCTGAACTAGAAGATGTATTTAAGGCTGCTAGGTTTCGTTAGCTTGTTTCATTAGCTGCTATGTTTAAGAATTATCTTAGATTTTATTAATCTTTTTAGGTTAATGTGTTTAGGAAATATCTCCTTGCCTCTTTTGTAAACCTTTCTCTAGATTGTATGGCTATTGTAATTCAGGCAGCATGTTCTTGCCTCTTTTGTTGTAAGAGAATTTCTGCTTTGCATATATGAAACAGCCTAGGTTGTATTATCTTTAATGTTATTATATAAAGTATCTGTTTATTTGTTATTAACAATCTGTCCTTCCAAAGTACTTTTTTCTTTGAGTTTAAATTGTCTTTGCCTATTTCAAATTCTCGTATGTCAATCATTAATTTACCATAAGTACATATATTTGATTTTTGCAGGACGCACACTCATTTAATTTATAACAGAGCCTACACATTATTTGGTGCTACTTATAGTAATGGGTATTTGTTCAACCTGTTAAGTTTCATTACCATTACAGAGTATGCAGTATACTTCTACATTGGTAATATTGTAGAATGAAAATGTTGGTTTTCAGACATGTGTATTTGTCTTTTAATAGATTACCACTCTGGGATACTTCGATTATCTAAGAAAAGTTTCCATAGATTAAATCAGGCTGCAAAGAACATCTCAGTCAGCATTTGCAAGGTATAAAGTACAATAATTAGTAATGTTTAAAATGCCATAAGACATCATTCCTAATAATCGTTAACTATATTTTTTCCATAGCTCATCAGCAAGTAGCAATTCCACTAAAGTTCCACAGGCTGTTAAGCCTCGAGTATCAAAAAGAAATCGCAATGTTACTGAACATATGGAGATTCAAGGACACGGGTATATGATTAATTAAGTTTCTTTCATTTTTGATTTCTTCTCTTTTCTTTTCCTGAAAAGTTTTTGCATACATTGTTACATCATACTTATAATAGCATTTCTAATCTTTAAAATAGCGCCCATGTAACACCAGCTAAAAAAACGCTCAAACGCATTGAATCAGACTTCAGAAAGGTAATGGCAATGAATCAAAACTATTTATGTATTGTTGTTCTGTTTACAGACCTGTTCCTATTGTATTGTTTTTAAGGCTATTACACTTTAGCTTAATAATATATTGGACTAATTCTCAGTAGGTTAGATTGAATTGGTTCTTCAGTGAAAACGAGAACCTCTAAAATGAGTCGAAGTATCCAAGGATCTGCTCCATTGCTTCTACCTAGGAACAGTGATCAACGACATAAGACTACTAAATCTTCCAAAAAAAAAGGGGGGTTCTGCATGAGGGTAACAACTTAATTTGACCTTTGTGCTCTATACTTTACTAAATATGACATTAGTAGAGTATTATTTGATTAAAGTCTTTATTGTTTATGACATCTTTAGATATCCTAGCTACTGCTATTGATCGTGAAATACTAGCACATCCTTTGAAATTACCTGTTCCTGGCCAATGTGACAAGTGTAGTGCAAAAAAGTTTGCATTTGAGTCTCTTAATTTTTGTTGTGGTGATGGAGAGATAGAAATTGCAGCAAATGAATATCCTCCTGAATTAGCACGCTTATTTACATCTCAAGATGAAGATGATATACACTTTCGCACATATGCAAGGCTATATAACAACTTATTTTCCTTTAGCTCTATTGGTGGGAATTATGATGCAGACACTTACAAAGGCATTTACGTCTTCAAGTTGCATGGGCAGCTATATCATTATGTATTACCTGAAAAGAAAACTCCTAAATATTTACAGTTGTATTTTTTATGATGGCCAGCATGAACCTAAGAACAGACTTGCTTGTTTTCCTGAGTTAAGGGAAGATGTGATTGACATTCTCATGGGTATCTCATTGCAAAATCCATATGGTGCATTCTTTCGATCTTTAAAAGAAAGACGGGTCACTGCTGATACTAAGATTGTTCTAAATCGAAATACAGTATTAGATCAACGAGTTTATAATGCCCCTGCTGTAGATGATGTTGTAGTCATTTGGCCAGAAAATGCTTCAAGAGCGAGAGTTTAAGTCCTCACATAATGGTTTCTGGAAAATCAAATGAATCTCATCGAATATACCATAACTATGGCGGCTATGACCCACTACAATATCCTTTGTTATTCCCTCGTGGTGAATGTGGCTGGACGCAAGGACTTAAAAAAAAGTCATGGAGGTTCAAGGCAAGCAGCTATACATACAGATCCTGTACAGTCTTGTGCTATACACACAACTGAAGAGTTGTTGGAGGACGAGGGAACACGTATACATTTCATACTTGCAATCTTTAGTCATATTTTTATGTATAATATATCACATATATGGGACAATTAATGAATCTATTCTATATTTGTGTACATAGGAGCACGAAGAAAGAACATTAGAGCAGATAAGTTTATTTCTCCACGGGAATATTATGCTTATAAGCTCCAAATTCTCCCCAATAACATGTTGCTATGAGTTGGTAGATGCCTTCAGCAATATATAGTTGATATGTATGTGAAAATAGAAAACACCCGGTTAGATTATTTTCATAACAATCAGGAAACCATCAGAGCTGATCTTTATCAAGGTATCCTTGATTCAATAGATTGTGGAGAAAAAGTAGCATACAATGTTGGGCGTAGAGTGATATTACCTCCAACTTTTCTTGGAGGGCCACGAGACATGAAGAAGAGATATTTAAATGTTATGGCCTTGGTTCAGATGGTAAACCTGATTTCTTTGTAACCATGACTTGTAATGCTAATTGGCCAGAAATTAAGCCTAAGTTAGCTGCAGGTGAATTAGCACAGAACCAACCTGATTTAGTTGCCAGAATCTTTAGAGCAAAGCTGCTTGCACTAAAAAAAGAAATTATGGAGAAAAAGGTTTTGGGCGAAGTTGCTGCAATGATCTATGTTGTAGAATTCCAAAAAAGAGGACTACCCCATGCTCATTTTTTGATAATTCTGAAGCCACAATACAAATTGAAATGCCCTGCTGACTACGATAGGTTTGTATGTGCTGAAATACCTTCTGCCAATGATACTATGCTACGAAAAATTATACTTGGACATATGATGCATGGTCCGTGTGGTGAATTAAATCAAGAATGTCCTTGTATGCGTACAAATGGGCTAAAAAAAACTTGCAAGAACAAGTATCCAAAACAATATGCAGCTGAGACGACAAATAACAAAGATGGGTATCTTATTTACAGAAGGCGAAACACTGGAGAAAAGGTTAAGATCCGAGGAGCACAGCTTGATAATCAGTGGGTTATTCCCTATATTCCATATCTGTCTATGCTATTTGATTGCCATTTAAATGTTGAAGTATGTTGTACTATTAAGGCAGTCAAGTACTTGTACAAGTATGTATACAAGGGCCATGACAAGATTTCATATACTATTGTACCTGATGCTACCAAACCTATTGATGAGATTGAACAATATCAATCAGGAAGATGGGTATCTCCTTGTAAAGCAGCATGGAGAATTTTTAGCTTTGAATTGTTTGAAATGTATCCCCCAGTGCTTCCTCTACAAGTGCACTTACCAAACATGCAAATTGTTCATCTGCACCCTCATGAGAAACTGAATTCTGTTGTTGCTAATTCAAAGCGTTTTAGAACTCAATTGACTGAGTTCTTCGCTGTAAATGCAGATACTGAAGGTGGAACAGGTCACTTATATGGAGAATTTTGTGAACAGTATAGTTAGGAACGAAACAATAAACAATGGAAGCAGAGAGTTTATGATAGATTTTCTGTTGGCAGGTTAGCATTTGTTTTCCCTGCTGAAGGTGAGCGATTCTCCTTACGCTTGTTGTTATTGAATGTCAGAAGTCCTACATCATTTGAAGACTTACGCACTGTCAATGGCCAAATCTATCCTACATTTAAAGAAGCAGCATTGAAGTTAGGCTTGATAGAGCATGATGATATAGCCAATCTAACTTTATCTGAAGTCTGTCAAGTTCAAATGCTTGTTGCTTTGCGCCGTTTATTTGCAACCGTTCTTATGTTTTGTCAAGCAATTGATCCTGAAGCTCTTTGGCATAAATATTACTCTCATTTGTCTGAAGATTACCGCCTGCAATTTCCAGATAATTCTCAGAAGATTCATCGCCTAACTGTAAGAGCAATGGAACAGTACCTTGAAGGTATGGGGAAATCTCTTGCTACCTTTAGCCTTGAACATCTCAATAGCCAATTTGATGAAGAGTTTAGAAGAACAAAAGATATAATAGATGCCTTAGATGCACCTATTCCAGAAGAATGTTTAAATTGTCGCTCAAGGTTAAATCCTGAACAAAATGTTGCATTTACAAACATAATGCAATATGTTATGGAAAAAAAACCTGGTGCATTTTTCATAGATGGCCCCGGAGGAACAGGCAAAACTTTCTTGTATAATGCTTTGTATGCAGAAGTTTGTCTTATGAATAAGATTGTTCTACCTACCGCAACATCAGGCATTGTGGCTGCAAATATTCCATCAGGTCGTACAGCTCATTTTAGATTTAAAATTCCAATTGATAGTGAAGCTTCTTTAGCCCGTGATGTTCCCAAACAAAGTAGCTTGGTTGCTCTTTTGAAAGAAGCAACATTAATAATATGGGATGAAGTTTCAATGGCCAAAAAACAAAACATTGAATCACTAGATTTACTACTACAAGATCTATGTCAAAATAATGTTTTGTTTGGTGGAAAAATTGTGGTATTTGGAGGTGATTTTAGGCAAGTTCTACCAGTTGTGCCTCAGAAGACAATGAAGGAAGCAGTTGAAACTAGCATTGTTACATCATATGTATGGCCTAAATTTATAAAATTCAAATTAACAAAAAATATTAGAGCTCGAGAGGATCTATTGTATTCTGCATTCTTACTTGCCTTGGGCAATGGTGACCTACAAGACACTGAAGTTGCTTTCATACGGTTGCCTACTACAGTTACACAAACTTTTGAAAATAAAACAGATCTAATCTATGATCTAACAAGAGCAACATTCCCTGAGATAACTGAAGGTCACTTTCACCCTAACACTTTTACTAAGAAGGCTATTTTGACACCACTGAATGATGATGTAGATTCTATTAATTCCTTTATGATCAATGACTTTCCTGGGAAGCCTGCCACATACAAGAGTTTCGATACCATGCTAAATGACACATGCAATGTCTATCCTACATAATTTACTAATAGCCTCTGTCCAGGAGGAATGAGTCCTCATGAACTTACATTGAAAGAAAATTGTCCTGTCATATTGTTAAGGAATCTACTTCCTTCTTCAGGGTTATGCAACGGCACCCGCCTTATTTGTAAGAGATTTTTCCCTAATGTTATTCAATGTGTCATTGTTGTAGGCCATTATAAAGGAGAAGAAGTTTTCATTCATAGAATTAATTTGAGGCCTTCTGGTTCAACCAACTATCCATTTCAATTTGAAAGGAAGCAATTCCCTATCAAGTTAAGTTTTGCAATGACATTCAATAAGTCTCAGGGACAAACAATTAACCAAGTGTCGATATATCTGCCTCAACCATGCTTCTCTCATGGACAGTTATACGTTGCTTTGTCCCGTGCCAAAAAAAAAAGATGTAAGTGTTTTCTCTGCCAAGCCTCCAGAACAGCATGCACCAAAGACTGTAAAGAATATTGGATCATATGAAGTCTTAAGGCTAGCAAGTATTGCCAATCATTATTCAGAAAAATGCACTTGAACCTAGAATATAGCAGCAGTAAGCATAAGGTATGAAGCTATTAGATACCATCATATAGATGTACATCTATTGTACTGCAATCAATGTTGTATTTGTTATAGTAAAGTATGTGACAAAAGAGAATGTTCCAACTTATAAGAAATGGTAAGAATTTACATATTTGTATGACAATATAATAACTATGCAAGTATATGATGCATATAAAATTGGTACTACCAAGGCTAAATGGCTAAATGTCTCATAACCAATAAAATTTTACGTATTATTAACCACAATGTATTTTTTGTGAAAGATTATTAATACCGAGGACACCGTAATGTTACTAAGTTATGTAGTTATCATTAGTAATCAAACTTTCTATACATACCTTAGTCTATATTTAGTAGAAACATGTAAAAATTAAAATTAATTTCTTTGTCCTTTCCAGATAACTTGATAAATTAAACAAGCCCATTCAATATTTATTTGGGCTTAGCTATTTTATACAAACATTAAAAATTAACATTTACAATACACACATCCAATATATTTACAAGTACGATTCTTATCTTATAGGTTAAGTATACAATATTCTTATTTTAATGAATAGTTCTATTGTTTACCTAGACAAGAAATCAGTAGGAGTAGTTAAGGCAATTGATAACACTTTAGTTTATTACCACTACTTTTTTCTACACTTCTTTACATCAAGGATAAATATCTAAATATTTCTGTCAAAAAAAAAAAGGATAATTATCTAAATAGAGGTATGGTCTTAAGTACTGTTACTATCAAAAAGGTCTAAATAGAAGTATGGTCTTAGGTACTTTTAGTATTTAAAAATAGTCTACAATACTTTTTTACTTCAAATACTGAGGAAATTTAGAAAAAAAAAAAAGTACGAAAACAATGCAATATTCAATTGGAATATGCATTGTACAGGAATGAAACTGTCAAATTCCCTTTTTAGATCCTTTGCCTTGCCAAATTTAATAATCTCAAAAAAGATATGTGGCTGCCTTTTCTCTTCTTCATTTGCCTGTAAATAGCATGCTTCCTTATTGAAGTAAACCTGTCTTGAAGCTCAGTTACTTACTCCTTGCAACAGGTATATCTTCTTCTCTAACTCTAGCAATTAATTGTGTTCAGAATGTTGAAGGATTCGTTAGCTAAGAGCATGAACAATTTGCACAATAATACTAGAGCAATAAATACATATATATTTGATGCTATGGTCCTATGTTTCACTACATTCTCTTGGATTATAGTATATAAATGCTTTGAATTTTCCTCTGTTTTCATTCATGTCTTTGTCAAACAATTACTAAATTATACCTCATTAATTAGGTATATACATGTAGAACATTTTTGCATTATAATGTGACTTGCTACTTTATACAAAATTACTTAATCAAATTTTGTATAAGAAAAACCTTCTTTAAAAAAAATTGTAATTGAAGACACATAGCATAAATAAATGCAAACTAGCATATAAATAATACAATTATATCTCTTACAAGTTCTTTGCTATTTGATTTTTAAGAAATTATAAAGAAATCTCAAGGACTGTTGCTTTAGATCTATTTTATGGTGAAAGTTATGTTCTTGAAAAATATACATAGTCAAGACACAATACCCAAAAAAAATCCTAATAAATATGATATTATGTGTGTTACTAATATAATTTACCATTTGATTTTTAGAAATAATAAGATATCAACATGAAGTTTGAACCTGTCTTTCTTGATGAACTCAATACACAAAGTAAGGATTATAAGGTTTCAGTCACTGTTGCTGAAAAAGGGCGTGTCCGTGATTCACCCAAAAAACCTGGGGTTACTTTCCAAACTCTGATCCTTGAAGATGCAAAGGTATATGTACTTTGCTAATTTATTATCTTCTACAAAAAAAAATAGAATTATAACATGTTCTAAGGTATATAGTTCTAATATGTAGGCTAGCAAATTTGTTAAAATTTAGTTACTCTACTTCTTACACTACAATGAAAATGTTAATCTAATTTAGTTACCAATCTGTCAGATTATTTAATGGTAATTTAGTATCAAATTAATATTTCAGAACAATCATAATTACATAAATGCTACCTTCTTCTTAGATTCAATATAGAGAGAACATATGTGATGCTAATTGTCTTGGTTATTGTTGTATGTCATAGAAAAACAAAATGCGGTGCTCATTATTTGGAGATCAAATACCTACCTATGGAGAAGTGTTTGTTCCAAAAGGAAAATATGAAATATCTAAGACACCTATAAGTGTTGTTGAAGGTAATTAGAAGAACTTCCATATCAAATGACAATTGGACGACAAACTGTTATACAAAGACTAGATTCGGAAACAGGTCCAATTGTGCCTAAATATCAGCCATTGTTCACTATTCCAAGAGCTGTAGATCCAGATGGAAGATATGGTAATTTCATTAGTGTTAGTTGTTACCATATACTTTGAACAACTTTAATCAAACAATGTCTACTGCTTTGCTATTATATCTGATTTTTAACAATGTATTTATTTCTAAAAATCAGATGTGGTTGCCATTGTCCTTTTTGTGGAAGACCAGCCACAAATGATTCCTAATATTCGTGGCCGTGATAGTCCAGTTCGAGAAATCTAGTCACTGACACAAGGTTGATTCTTAAACTTATATTCAAATTTACATGCTGTTAACAACATAATTGCTTATGCAAATAACTCATGCTATCTTTACATCCTCCATTAGCCAAGAAAGGCCAATCACAATTTCTGCATGGAACGATTTGGCTGGCAAAGAATGCGATGCATTGTGTACTTGGGCTGAAAAATTTAATGTGATTGGATTCACTGCTCTTAAGAGTCGTATGACAAAAGGTATCTTCCTAATTCCTTATTAGATTATCTATTGCTTTTTACAATTAATAAAGCATATATAAACACCTATGGACATGTATTTTGCAGCAACAGGATTCTCATTGAATACTACAATGTCTACTCGAATCATTCATGAGCCAAAAGGTGACAAAGCAGATGTGCTTCGTGAATGGTAATCAACAACTAAATAGTAAATTCTTAGTTACATCAAATAAAGAATGTTATTAACAATTGATACATTCACATTACAGGGCTAAGATGTATCCCCAAATGTTACTTGGTAGGCAGGAAAAGGTTCTTAATGTCCGTTATCCAAATACTGTCAAGAACGTTGTCACCATTGCAGAGCTCAGGGCCAGAAAGGTTTATATAACTTTACATGCATTGTTTACTAAACACAACTCTAGATCAGAAATCCCTTACATTGTTCCTTGGATTATTGAAATAACAGGCAATCCACACTATGCAAAATGAAATTGCTCGGATCAAAGTAACAATACCTGAACCTGAGATGGAAAGACTCAATGCATATGTTGGATGCCAAGGCTGTGGAAAACGCACTAACATTCCAGTTGGAACTTCTTTCCCTTGCAATGCTTGTAGGAAAAGGGATAGTGTCTCTTCCCACAGGTAGAATTTAAACTTTGGTCTATTCATGCAATGTATACTTGTATAAAAATAATGCTTTGTCATATGATTGTAACAGGGTTATCTTCAAGTTCGAATGCAGCGATGAAAGTGGTACTATGACATTTACAACTTTCAACGATGCAACAGAGAAACTTTTTCGGAAATCATCCACTGAAATTTTCAACATCAAAACCACTGTAATATTCTACTTCTTTTATTTACTGCAAAAGTCTAATTGAATTTTTATGATTTCCAGTCTGCTTTTGTGTTATAATGATTTTGATGGTCAGTTATTATTGAACCTATTTTAAAATGTTTGGATTATGTTTCATAAGCACAACATAATTTTAAAAGAAGAATCTCTTAGTGGTTGAGTTTTTCTATCCAGCTCCAACTTGTGGCTATTTTGAACTGTCATTGCAGCATTGCATATATAGAAAAATTAAATTTTATATTTGCGACACTTAAAATATAGAACCAAGTAGCTTGTATTTTTTATCTTTATTGGTTTCTAATATCTGAAGCTTATCCAACATTATTGAATTCCTATAATATTTACTTCCTTTTCTTACTTTGTTTGATCTGATTTTTAAAATTCCTTTCTATATTCTTACAGTTCTGTTTATTTACCATTTTGATGCTACTTTTCAATTGATTTGTTGAAATTCAATATGCTATAAGGTGTAAAACCTGCTCTTCTAACAAAACTATTTTTCCCTTCTTAAGAAAAACAAAGTACACATTTAGAAAATTACATAACCGTTCTAATCAAATTTTCAGGAAGATGTAGAAGCTTTTAGAAAAAGACAAGAGAAGCTATCAACAAAGCCTTTCATATTTCAAGTGACACCTTCACAGGAACTCGAAACTAACAATGTCTTAATCTGGACTCTCAAAGATGTTGAAATAATAGATGATGTTAGCATTCCTGAAGTTGCAAATTCAGCATATGCAGAACTCTCACACCCACTGATGATAAAGCCATCTGATAAAGGCAAGGGAATTGAGCATGAATTACTGCTGGAAACAGAAGCTCATGGAAAAAAAACATCTGTACTTGGAGTATGGATCAACCACTGACTACAACCAGATCCCTGAATACTTGCCTGATGATATTTTAGCTGAATTTACTCAGTTTCAAGAATACAAGCTTTCTCAACAGTTCTTTGAAGAAAAGGCACCCTTGCCTCCACTCACAATTTCTGAACCAGTTGATAATCAGAAAATGAAGGTTGAGTATTTGAATTTTTTTTCGATTTTGAAGGATTTTTTTTTCCGATTGGATTTATCCATATTCAATAGTTTTTTGGATTTTGTAGATAAAAATAAATTACTTTAAAAGGAATGAATTGAGCTAAATGAAAAAAATGAGCTAAATGAAGAAATTAAGCTAAATGAAGGAATTGAGCTTAATGAGAAGTTGTTCAAAAATACCTCAATATTGGTCTCTATTATAGAGAAAAAAAAAATAAAGACGTTGGTAATTTTTTTTTTATTTGTATTTTTTAATTTATTACCGTTGCAAAAATTTGCAATGACAATAATCTAGCCGTTGTATGCATGCGTGGTGTCATCCAACAATATTGTCGTTGGTGTCATATGTTGCAAGTACATGCAACTTTTCCTTTTTCTTCCTCCAATTATAACCTGCCACTTGTCATTTACATTTTCATGACCACATTTCTAGTTTGGTCATCTTTAATACCAAGTCATCACTTTTTTCCATCAATTTTTTCTTTGTTTTATTTTTTTAATATAAAAACTCTACTCTCTCTCCTCATGACGAAAGACTTGGTCATCCATTGGCCTCATTCTTATGTTGGGTATTGGTGATGGGTTGCAATTAAATAGCGAACGGAAAAGTGTGAGGAGAAAAAGGGAAGTAAAGGTTGACAATGTAGTTTTGGTGTGACTAATTAAGAAAATTAAAATGGAGTTTGGTTCTTCAAAAATAAATAAATAAATAAATTAAATAGTTTTTGGTGTGACTAATTCAGAAAATTAATTTCCTGAAAACCCAGCAATATGAATTTCTAAAAAATTAATTTTGTATTGACTAATTACCTGAAATTGAGCAAGGCAAAATTTTCTCCAATCAAAATCAAAAGGCATTTTAAAAATACAAACTACTCGCTAATTTGATCTACACTTTCTCCTAAATACAATCATTCAGCATCCCAACTAGGAGATTCTACCACCAAAATATTTGAGATTACGTAGCGTAATAGAACATAATTTGTTTTTTTTTTTCTTTTCAATAAATAAATAATGATAATACGTCAGTCCTTAGTCGTTTATACAAACATGAGCACAAGACATCAAAACTTTTTTCCTAGAAAAACTAGATTCAGTGTGAAGAAGATGGAAGAACAATGGTACGAGTGATCATGTTTATTTACATTCTTGAGTTGTTTTTTGAAGCGGCAGTGTTCCAAATACTTTATCCCACATTGACGAAGTTATGCCAAAGCCCTTGTCTTGAATGCGGAAGTGATGATTCAAGTGATATCTCTGAAATACGCAAACAAAACCATCACATATTGCAATAGATTCAAGATATCTCTGAAATACGCAAACAAAACCATCACATATTGCAATAGATTCAAGCCAAGCACAATCTTACAACAGACTATAAGCAACAGAACAGGTTAGTCCATTACACGTATTCATGAAATAAACATGATCCCAACTTTTCCGAGGATCCTTGAAATATTTCCAATATAAGTAACCCATTAAATGAATTCTGATATAAATTGACTTGGCTATATAATCCAGTGATCAAGGATAAGGATAGAAGTAAGCATACCTTTAGATGCTTTGGTACGTCATTAGATGGCTGCCCGTGATGTAGATAGTAGTGAGTGACATCATACATCACATATCCCAATAAGCCACCTCCAAAAAGGGCAGGGGTAGTGGATGGTGTTGCGAAGATCCTGACCAAATTCCAAAACTGGAAAATGAAACAAAAATTAGAGACAAAATTAGCACTAGTCCAAAATCCGTACACCAATCAAATCTACGTCGTTATAAAATGGTCATATCAGAGAGAGAAAAGCAGAAAGATTATTAAAATTTAACATTGAGCACGAGGTTTAATTGAATTCAACGCATTAGTTTAAGTTCAAATTATCCTGTGTTGAAAATATTTATCAGTTCTATGTGGTGAAATGTATATATTCCACCTAGCTTCAAGCTAATTCACATATTATTCCCCTCCACCTCCCCCGACCTCGTCTGCTTGATTCATAAATTACAGCTTGGTACAATTGTAGCTCTTTGCAAGGTATCACTTCTTTGCGCTCGCTCTCAACCTCCTGTTAATTTAGGTTTAAAGAGTATGTAAGATGGTAAAATGTTTCACCTAGCTTCTAGCAGATTTCTCCACTATACAATTGTTGCTCAATCACAATTTGTCTTTGTAAGATTAGACATTTAGACTAGACTACTTTACATTCAAGAAATATAAGTATTCTCCTTCTATATAAAGTGGTTGTGCTTTGTGTCAACATAAGTTCCAATTTTGTTCGCTACACTTCTACTTATAACTATTTTGTGAAATTATTCCCCAACTATCCTACTAGCAACATTTTTTACGTTATTCTACAAACCCTACTTCTGACACTTATCTTACACAAACCTGGCCTACAATAATATTCTCCTAAAATTTCTTACTACGTACATATGAACCACTCTACCCACGCTATTCTCCCTAAAATTGTGTATCAACAGTAATTATCACTATCAAAATAGGATGGGAATGTAGTATGAAATATAACGCTTCCTGCTATAGACAGTGGTAGCTAAAGTACCCAACTATCCTGAGACTTTGTAAGGCATCAAACTAGAGCGGATCATATTAAGTTCCAGAAATATATGAAATATTCCACCCAAAATCTGAAAGCAGCTTTAGACAAAAGAGCCAAATAATGAACTGATATTTCATGATTGATGACTTATCCATGAGATATGAGATTTATAGAAATTACAGTCCACATCCCTGCCATGTTAATAAACTTAGTCATGAAGTGAATAGGAAAAATAAGGCAACAAAGAATTATTATCAAAAATAGAATTGGAGTCCTCCCAAAACAAATACCTAACATTGCTATCAAGCTTTACTTGCACACATTTAGGGTTTCGTTCTAATGACCTATAAGGTGTCTTGGTGTAATTATAAGGAGTCTTGGTGTAAATTCTAGAGTCAGGTGCTGAACTGCTTTGAACAGCCTGCGCGTGATTTTTCAGATTTTCTACTCTGACTAACTTGACCTGAGTTGTACATTTAATGTATTAGAAAAAACATCATGCAGAATCTGTCTTAATGTGTATTTTTTCATATCTCTATTTACATACTCCCTCTGTCCATAAATTACATTCCTCCTTTCTATTTTTGGTATTCCAAAATTACATTCCTCCTTTCTATTTTTGGTAAGTGTTTTTTTAGTAAATCAACTCTGTTTTTCTGTTTTATATTTAATGCTTTCTCACTCATCCTTACCTAATCTCACTCATAATCCTTGTGCCAAATTACAATGAATATGATTGGTTAAAAATTTTCAATTAGGATCATGTGATTGGTCCTTTTTTTTTTTTTTTTGCAAAGGATTGATAACATGTCATGAGTAATAACTAATCTATCTTTGTACTTCCCATTGCATTATCTAATTATTGTTATTTGTCTTATTCTTCCCTCCTTAATTCCCGTGTAAATTTCCAAAGAGGAATGTAATTTAAGGACGGAAGGAGTATTTTTTACACATGTGAAATTAAAGATTCACAACAACAAGCAATCTGAAAATAGAAGAGTTGGTCTGGTTTGGTACAATCCGATATGCCATTTTTTAGAATAATAAGAATAAGGCGAGGAGAACAAAGCCTCAGCAATCAGGCGTTAATAACAATCCATCATCAAAACAACAAAAGTATTTCGTGTATACTGAAGCTACAACAGATTGTTTCAAAATGGCAGCATACATAATTTGTAGTAATATTGAGTCAAACCAATTTGAGTGTCAATATAACCTTTCCAAAAACATGATTAAGAAAACAACTAACCGGAAAACATAGGACCGCTGTTGCAGCAGGAGGGAAAACAAGACGCAGGCCATCCATAGGGTGCTTGTGATGACAGCCGTGAATAAGATAATGGATAGTGTTACCCCTGTAAACATTACACATTAGTACAAACATACATTACTAAATCATATGAGAAGATAAAAGAGCAACCAAACAGATGTACAATTCTGTCATTTTTATCAAATAGAAGTTAAAAGTTAAGGGATAGAAAACAGAACAAACCAATAGCTCTTTGTTTTGATGTGGAAGAGGAAACGATGTAAAGTGTATTCAATAAATGTCCACACAAAAATACCAAAAATCACCATCAGCCCTATCTCAGGAAGAGTGTGACCCATCCGTATAGACATGGAGATGCACCAACACACAACTGGAAGCCAGATAGTTGGAATAGCCCACCACACAGTGAGGGTTAGAAACTGTATAAAGAAAATACATGTCAGGAACCTGAATGCATTTAAGTGTCTAGATAGAATAGAGACGTACCTTAATCAACTGCTGCCTAAATATGCATTCAAGGGTGAAGTTAAAAGAAAGCAGACAAGATATTTCTCAGAAATTATAGAAGAATACCTCCCAAAAATCACTTTCAAAGAAACGAGGGCCTTCCTTACTAACAATTGGTTGGTGTACCCATTCCTCATAAGATTCGCCAAGGTGACCAACCTACAAAAAATTGTAATGCAACACAATAGAGCTTTTGAATTAAAATTCAAGCAAGTAACATAATAAAGTTTGCATTTCCCAATTACAATTTCTATTAAGATTAAAGTTTGAATTTCTCCGTTTCTTTATAATCTCATTTGGAACTTTTGTAGATTAAAATGCAAATGGAATCAGATAAATTTCGACAAATAAAAAAAAAAAAAAAAATCTCAGTGGGTAGTTTCAATACATAAACTTTTTTAAATATTATTTAAGGTTATGTTCATAGATAGTTACGCAGTTTAATATGTGCTCTGAAAATTGTGCAAAAACCAAAAATTACAATAAAAAAAAATAAAAAAATAAATAGGAATAACTTATAAAAATGGAGTACATGGAATAAAAGCAATAATCTCAAAGCACAGTTAAACTTTTACATGAAAAGAAAACCAAGAGCCCAAAGATGCCATACCTGAAAAACAAGTGGTTTATTTAAATCCACTGTGAATCCCTGGGCAACCATCCTGGCGTTTTTTGTCTATCTTATACCTACATAATAAGACATAAACTAATTCAGCAATAGAAACTCTAGTCCTGAAGATAAATTACAGTATAAATCACAATGTTACATTCAATTTTATAATTTACACTTCTTTTGAACCAGTATAACTTTTAAATCCCTTTATAGCAAATAGAGAGGCCACAAGTAGAGGGAGAAATTCTGTGTCCACGCAGCCTTTGCGGCAGAATTCACTAGTCTGCAGAAAGAATGCCAAGCCTGCTAAACCATTTCTCAGCTTCTAAGCTTTTTATAAACCCATCATTTTCTTACAATTGATTAATTATCAAACAATCAGTATTAATGACCAAAATATTAGATAATAGCTATACAAATCTTAATGAGTTTGTAACAAAGGCACAAATAAGTCCAACAAACCCTCAAACTAAATTTAATCATTGGCAAAATCTGCAGGCATTACAGATTGTATGACAGCATAATATATGCCATATTAGCAACTAATATGTTGAATTCAATTCCATAACAACAGTCAAGTACACTAAAAGTTATAAGAAATCACTGAAGTCAAACAATGTTGAAATCAATTTCATGATCAAACCAATCCTTTTCAGCCTTAAATGAACAAACTTGAGATAGACTACTATACTATGTAATATATAGTACAAAGACACCATATATGTTACCTATTTGAAATAATCAACTCTACAACCAAATCTTGACCTTGAAGTTTTGACAAACTTTTTTAACCACTTTTTATTACTTGAGTATTTTAATAATTTCCTATCCATAAAAGTTCTTTGTTAAATGATGTAGAGAAGATCAATAACGGTACCACTGCCGAAACTTTGATCCATTAAACGAGTTCAATTTCTTCCAGCCCACATTATTTAAATACAATGTAATCAAAGAAGATTGAAGAAAACTATAAACTAATTACATCATCAAATAATATCCATCAATTAGGGGCCACATCAAATTAAATCCCACAACAAAGTTACCAAGAAAATGATTCATTTCATTCAAGCCCGAGACTACAACATGCAGTACAGACAAACTTCAGGTAGCACCATGGACTTAAAAACTGCAGAAAGTCACATTTAATAACGTAGTATAGTCAAAACCAGGCACGAAACACATCTTGAACATGCATAGTTGGATACTTGGGGAAAATCTCAATATAGAGACAGACAAAATGTAAAAAATATTTGATAGCAAGAGTACATAGCACGTTTAACTAATTAATAAATTGACATAGAGTAATCACCACCAGTCGAATGTACTTTTCTCATAAAGACAATTTAAGATGGGAAATAAAGAGAGACCCAACCAAGACCAAAAGCCCTTCACCCATTTCCATATATATATATAAAATATATATATATGAGGAGGGATCCGGTGAGAATATGCTCATATGTGAGAATTCATACTTATATGAGAACGGATTTTAAATTTGGAACGTGTGAGAAAAAATTTAAAACATACGAGTAAAAATTTATAACATGTGTCTCAAATTAAAATTTAGAACATTTGAGTAATAATTTAGAACATCTATGTAAGTAATAATTTAGAACATCTTATTTAAGAATTAGAACATGTGAATAAAAATTTAGAACATCATACTTAAATTTTTGTAGCATAGCGGTTAGAACAAAATGCTTAGAAATTTAAACCTAGACTCAATGATTCTTAACATATGTAATAGTTCTTAGAAGAATAAACTTTGATTTTCAAAATATAGTTTTAATTGGAACATGATACTCAAATTTTAAGACCTTGAACTCAAAAATAAATCCGAACATACATGCAATATTTTTTAGAACATATGCAACATATTTTAGAACATATGTAACAGTTTTTAGAACATACTTAAATTTTTTAGAACATAATTCTTTAATATTAAACACAAATTGAAATTCGATTTTTACAACGAATTGATTCGAAATCAGTTTATTCTTGATTTCCAAGGTAAATAAAACATATGAATTGTTGTTTAGTTTCTTATAGTCAATTAAAATTCCTTGAAAATTCAAACTCTATAATTTGCCCAATTTGTTTGATTTGGATGAAAAAAAATTTTGATTTCACATATTAAAGTGTCAATTAAGCTTGGTTTACCTATAATTAATAGGGGTGAACATGGTTTGGTTTGGTGAGGTTTGAGACCAAACCAAACCAAACCGCAAAATACGGTTTTTGGTAAATTTTTCAAACCAAACCAAACCATATTAGTATTGAAACCAAACCAAACCAAACCGTAATAATACGGTTTGGTGCGGTTTGGTTTGCGGTTTATGATGAGATGATATTTTTTTTTTTCCAAAAATTGTCAAATAATACTTCACTAATTTATAATAATGTTTAAATAAGTAGCCCAAACGGATTAAATTGTACTACAAAGTTACAATAAAAATATCAAGTGCTAACACATAATAAAAATAATACATAACAATAAAAGATATTCATATGAGTACTACATTATAGTCATTAATTATAGAGTATTGACGGTATAGTTTTTATCTATTTTTCATGGTTTTTTATTTATTCTTTAATTTTTTTATATAATATAAAAAAAAAATTATTGAAAAATTATATAAATATTAAAATACGGTTTATTGGTTTACGATTTGGTTTGGTTTATAATTTTTGCAAAACCAAACCAAACCATAAACCATATTTACAAAAAAATCGAGACCAAACCGTAATTTTATAAACCGTAAACCAAACCAAACCGCTAAAATACGGTTTGGTCTGGTTTGGTTACGGTCCAGACCAAACTGTGTACAGTCCTAATAATTAAGCTTGAATACAATTGTTCAAAAGTTGATACAAAACACATGAAATTCTTGAGCATGTGGTGATGGTCGTCGTGGAGAAGATTGAGAGTGTTGGCCATGATGTCGAAAAGAAGAGAAAGTGTGATGGTGGTGGAGGTGACGTCATAAAGGCTATGGAACAGGCGGTGGTTGTGATAGAGGAGCTAAAGATTGGATAGTGTTGGTGAGAAGAGGAGAGAAAATGTTAAGGTTAAAGATGATGGGTTTAATTTATTTTCAGAACATCTACCTTCACATATTAGAACATAGATGTGTTCTCACATAAGAGAGGTGTTCTCACATAAGCCTCTCCCTATATATATATATATATATATATATATATATATATATATATATATATATATATATATATATATATATCTAATGAGAAGGATGAGAAGGAACAAATGTGCATAATTGTGTTTCAAACTGATACAAATTTTTAATTTTCTAGAAAAACGAAAATTATGCACATTTGTTCAAAAAATATCCACACCAAATTTGAGTCAAATTTTTTTTTTACACATTTAGTTCAAAATAACATACACATTTAGTATAAACATTATGCACAAAAAATCCTTCTCATTCTTCTTATTTTAAGATACTTCTCATTTAACCATATATATATATATATATATATATATATATATATATATATATATATATATATATATATACGAGATCTAATGAGAAGGACCTTAAAATGAGAAGGAACAAATGTGCATAATTGTGTTTCAAACTGATAAAAATTATTAATTTTCTAGAAAAACAAAAATTATGCACATTTGTTTAAAAAATATGCACACCAAATTTGAGTCAAATTTTTTTTTTTTTGCACATTTAGTTCAATAAAATATGCACATTTAGTATAAACATTATGTACAAAAAATCCTATATATATATATATATATATTAGACTCTTAAGTCTTACCTATATATGTACTTTTCTCATAAAGACAAATTAAGATGGGAAATAAAGGGAGACCCAAGCCAAGACCAAAAGCCCTTCACCCATTTCCTATATATAGTGCTGTCAAATTCCAAACCAAAACCGTTTAACTGCCCGAAACCGACCGACCTAAATGAGAACCGAACTGATTAAAAACCGATTTTTTTGAAACCGAAAACCGACCCGAACCGTATTTTAGTAAACCCAAAACTGAATCGACCCGAATAATGTTAAACCGTATAAGAACCGAACCCGTTAACAAACCGAACCGAATATAAACAGAACTGAAAGAAAACCGAACCGAAAAAGAACATAATCGTAACTAACCTGAAACCGGTTCCAACCCGAAACCGTTTAAACTGGCAAAAAAACCGCTTACACCGAACCGTTAGCAAACTGCTACCCGTTTGCACCAAACCATTTAAAAACCGAACTGATTGAAAATCGAACTGGTTATAAACCAAACCGCTTCTAAATTGAACCGTTTACAAACTTTTTTATATAATTAAATTGATTTTATTTTTTTACGGGGATATAATTAAATGGATTAAATATTAGAAATCTTAGAATATTTTTTTTAAAATAGCAAGGCAAATCATTCATTAAGGTCTTAAGGATAATCAGTGTTCACAAACAAGAGCAAAACAAGCCAGCTCAGGCCCTGCCTCAAACTATTAACAACACTACTGCCTCTAGTCATGTATACATTTGAGGTTATGAAACCAAATGAACAAAAAGCTTGTAATATTAAGTACCAAGGCTTGGCTGAAGGCGTAATAAATAAAATTAATTCACAGAGACTATTAAGCATATGATTACATTGATTTTGTGAGTAATAATGAAATAAAGATGGGAGTGTGCTAGTGACATGAATATACTATTAGGCTATGTTTTAATTCAGATTCAACTATAATTTAGTAAACTTGAAATGGAACCGATATGAATAACGTTAAAGTGGTTAAACAATCGAAGAACCGAACCAGTTATAAACTGAACCGAAAAAGAAGCGAACCAGTTATAAACTGAACCAAAAAAGAACCGAACTGTTTCTAACCCGAAACCGTTTCCAACCCAAAACTGTTTGAACCGGGATAAAAACCGTTTACACCGCACCGTTAACAAACCGCAACCCGTCTACACCGAACCGTTTACTACCCGGACTGTTTACAACCCGAACGAATTAAAACCGATCCGTGAGACAATTAAACCGATTCCAAACCGACCCGATTAAATGCCGAACCGATTTCAAACTGAACCGAAACCGAACTGTCAAACCGTTTTGACAGTGCTACCTATATATATATATATATATATATATATATATATATATATATATATATATTAGACTCTTAAGTCTTACATATACTCAAGCGCCAGGGCAGGCTGGAGTTTTTAGTTGCAGGAACAGCTTACACAGAAAAGCCGCATACAATATCCTAAGCAATGTTACCCAAATTGCTCACTGGAGCCCTGTTACGAGAAACATAGGTCTATAACCAAAACCCAATTGTACCCAAATTTGATATTCCAAGAATGGTATATCCCTCAACTACGCTCTTCAGCCGAAACCCAAACAAGTTGTTCCAGACACACATAAGTTTCCCCAATCCAAGACCCATTCAAGCTTACCAGTAAGAACACGAACATGTGCTAAATTTAAAGTCGTTTTGAGTTAACTCAAATTTATTTTCAGAAGAGCAACCAACATTATCAACATTACTAGGCAAAAAGTATCCATCACATTATTTAAATACAATGTAACCAAACAAGATTAAAGAAAATTATAAACTAATTACATGATCAAATACATAATCCATCAATTAGGGGCCACATCAAATCAAATCCCATAAAAAAGCTACCAAGAAAATGATTGAAAATACTTTTGACTTTCCCTTCCGTATCATATAACGGCTTAAATTACCAAACATAATCTAAGCTCCAATATCATACGTTTCATCCCAGAGGGAAACTTGATTGAATTATTAAATCATCATTCGTTTAGTAACGAAAACCAACATTACAATAATCCAAATTGATAATTAAATAAACAATATCCAAATTTGATGGTATATAATTGATATTGAATGATTAAAAAGAGAAACAACATCTTACCTTGGAAGCTGCTTCAATGTGGAAGATAGAGATATCAATGGAGATCGTGGGGTGCGCTTCAATGGGAAAATGAGAGAGAGAGAGAGAGAGAGAGAGAGTAGGAGGACAGATAGGTCGAGGTTGGCTAAAACACAAGTGGCTGGCGTCCTTTTAGTTGCATGTGGGGTAAATAGGTAATTTCAGCATAAGTCATTATAACTTGGTCTACGGAGAGAGATTGTTATATGCATTCGGGTACTGTACAACCATGAGTATTTATTCTGATTTGGTTATTGTTTTTATTTTAACATCATACGAAGAGCAAAAACTAACTTTGAAGGCTTGTTTGGCATTATTTTTGGTTTTTCATTATCTTTTTATTTTTTTAAACTAAAACACTTAAAACAGGAAACACGAAAAATATGTTTCCACTTTTCTGTTGTCAGTTTTTAAAATTATCATCATTTTAATAAGTTTAAATAAATTTTTATTCATTATGTGACATATATCATATACTTTAAAAAACAAAAAAAAAAAAGAAAACCACAGCGATGTCAAATGAACCCTTATTTAGGTGCACGGTACACCCGATGTATATAAAAATTTCTAACGAAGTATAGGAAACGGACCCGTTATAATTTGTAGATCTGGTCATGCTGCTAGAAATGGAGCAGGATCATCGACCTTACTTCCTGATCGTCGGCCAACCATCAAGCTTCACTAATCAAGTCTGAAAAGTCTGGTTTCGAGGTTTTACTTTGCTAGTTATTTTTGCCGACGTCCTTGCTAGTGTGGTGCTCCGATTATTATTACCTAGGTTGTTGCCCTTCCTTCTGCGACTCTTGCGGGTGCCAGCATATCTTAGCTAGATCTTGGACCTCCAATTTAACCCTTACCGCAGCATGGAGAAGCTATTTATTTTTTATAGTTCCACAAACCTTCACTAAGTCTTGTTTAGGGTAAAAATACCCTAGACACATGGCCCAATACAAAAGGGACATGTGTGATTCTAGAATAAGTTTAACATGGACCACCTCCCCCCCCCCCCAATTGACATGTGTCAACCTTAGATGATAAATGGAATGGCGGCCTTCAAGGCCCAATTCCCGAGAAAAGCCACAAAGCGGCGCAGCCCATTAGGTTAGAATTACCTATTGAGCGCATATTCCAATGGCCCTATAAATAGGGAGATTCCCACATTTTGGAGACACATTCATTTATTACAACATACCTACATTCTCTCACATCAGAAAGAACACCTAATCTCGGAATCCGAGAAGATCTCACTCTTACCTTTTTCGCACCATTTCATCTTCTACGACCAATACTAACTTAATCGTCGGAAGCGAAGCTCCTACCACCAGGAATCTCCGTGTTTTCCAGGTACATGTCGCGTGGGATCAGTCTTAGACACATAATTATTAATCCTAACTCCATTAGGATTCAAAAGAACTTTCTAGAGTATTCTAGAGGAATATAATCAATCCTAATTGCAATAGGAATGATACTTCATAATAGGCCCTCCTCTAGATCATTGGGCCGCATATAAAGATCAAACCGGGCTCAGTTTAGTAATTTGGCCATAACTTCCTCATTATTCATCGGAATTGGGCTGATAATATATCGCCGGAAAGCTCTTTTCGAACCCAATCCAACTACACTATTAATGGACCCTTGCCATGGACCTAAATAAACTAGAATTCACGTTTTTCATAAATAGGGTAAGAAAAGAAATATTTTAAAAAACAGAAAGAAGTGATATTTTAATAAAAACATCCTCATCACTAGACTTTTCACACTTTCTCTTTATTCGATAATCAAATGACGTGAAAGGTATTCATCACTGGGTTTGGTTTTGGGGAGACACATTTGGCTGTCTACACTCACCAAGTACTTGTTTTGGTGCAGATACTCCTTCAGCCCCGTCTGACATGCAAGCGTTTGCTAAGAGGATGGTGCGGACACTTACCCGGATAGAGAAACACTGTATGCCAAATGTGCAGGTCGTGGACTTCGACCAAATCCAGGGCCTGCTAGCTGAGGTAATTTTTACTTAGAACCTCATATTTTTTAAGCTTTTAACTCTCCTAGTTAACCGTTTGACTCCACTTTTTTAGGCGATGCTGAGGGTAGACGGGCTTAGGGTCCCCTTCAGACGGAAGGGAGAAGAGGTAAATGACGTTAAACAGAGGGTCGTTCAAGCTCTCAACTCTACCGAATACAGCAAAATACAATGTGATGTTGAAATTAAAGTAGTAGATTTGAAACAGGAGGAGTAGGTAAATAACTTAAAGGCTGCTAATGACGCCGCTAACGAGCGGGTGGCCAAGCTTGAGGAGGATCTGAAGATTGCCCAGTCGAATCTCAAGGCCTTGGAGGGAGCTGACACGGAGAATGCCCAGCTGAGAGCAGACGTCAGCCGCCTGGGTGTCGAGCTCGTCCAAGAAAGGAATAAACACAAGGACGAGATTGCCCAAGAGCAGAAGCGGCTGGTTGCAGAGAACGAACGGGATACTGAGGCCCGGTTGCGCAATACATGGGGTTTGCTTCATCCTAAGGTTGAGTTTGATATGCTTAAGCTTCGATATGATTACGCCACTGAGGTGTATGACGCACAACAGCTCAACGAATAGGCCACGCCTCCCTTCAAGCCATGGGCCTTTGAACAAGGCTATGAGGTTTCTGATGGCGAGGAAGAGCCAGCTGCCAACCCGTATGATCAGGTCCAGGCTAATGAAGCTCAAGCTGATCAAGTCCAGGATGGTCAAGTGCTGGATGCTCAAAACAAAACAAGCCTCCTAGCAGGTTAGAAGTAGCCGGAGCAGACCCAACAACCTTGATTCAAATTCCTCCTTTTTTTTTCAGCGGTAGTATGCCAATTAATTTTTCCAGCCTGTGAGCCAAGTAGTTCTGTGTTTTTACCGACTAAGGAGTCGGGTAACAATTTTACTTTCTTTTCTCCCAAATGTATATCCGGTTAACAATATTATCCGGTTCTAACCGGTTTTGAATAAAATTTGCCGACTGAGTCGACTTGATAAATTTGTTTTTTTTTTTGTTTCAGTTTTTGCATTTAAATTATGCAATTTTTATTTTTGAATTGTTGCCTAACTTTTTAGAGCATGCGGCAATTAGAATAGTATATCGGCTACTTTTGCCCTTGGCGGCTGTGTGGTTGGTTTCAGTACTTCCTTGATTGATTGACTTTGGAATGTTTAATACTTTAAAGAATATGGAATGTTCCTAAGTCAATCAATCATAGTAGTTATTTCCCCAAACCAAGTACACAACCGTTCATAGCAGTCGTTTTACCCAATTGGGGAGTAGGCTCAATCAAAGCCTTATTTCCCCTTTTGGGGTATTCGTATTTTATAACTCTTTGTGAGCCAGGAGGGAGCTTGCCGCCTGACAGTTAATGAAACAAGGAACATATTATCCGTCTGTCTGATGGGCCCAGACATATTAAAGGCCGTATGGGGTGCCTGCAATCCATTGCACCTGGTTCGTCTGCACCATTGGGGGTGACTGGTACAATTTTGTTGAACTATTTAACAAAGAACTTTAGTAATTTACCAGCTGATGTCACTTGACATCCGGTTTTAAGCTTAGTCATTCTTTTAGACTATTTTGGTCAGACAGCTATAAGTTGATCAATTTGGTCGTTCAATCTTTTCCGTCTGCATATGCTAGAGTAGAGAAAATGATAGAATGCCCTCTGCGATGATAACACCTGGAGGGGCGTCGCTGGACGCCATACACAAATAGGAGTAGACAAATTTATAAATAAGTTTGCATCCGGCCATTGGCCTCGATTTAAATATCATTTTAACCCTAAGTTTTTAACTTAGCTTGCATTAGGCCTTTGGCCTCTGAAATTAAATATCATTTTAGCCGCTAAGTTTTTAACTTAGCTTAGTTTTATTCATTGTAGGGGCCATTTATGCATTGCACAAATGATGGTCCACCATTCCGCATGTATACATGTATGTAAAGGAAGTAATTAAAGCAATTTGAAAACAAAAAACAACTTTTTCATTGATAGGCTTATTATTTACAAAAATTTACAAGTCTTACAGTAATACTTTTTCAAGTTATCTACATTCCAAGTCCTAGGCAGTCGCCTACCATCTAGAGCTTCCAGACGGTAGGTGCGTCACTTCTTCGTAGATCCGATACGGGCCTTCCTAATTAGGAGTTAGCTTTCCTTGCTCATTGGTCCTACTGGTTGCCTCCATCTTTCGCAACACAAAGTCCCCAACTTTTAAGGGTTGTTTCTGCACTCTCTTGTTGTAGGCACGAGTCATTCTCAGACGGTAAATCTCATGACGCAAGGCGACATTTCCCCTGCGCTCCGGGAGTGAGTCCAATGCTAGGCGCATGGCCTCCCAGTTTTCCTCTTCATCGTATAGCATGACTCATAGAGTCGACTCATAATGCTCGATGAGCAAGACGACTTCAGCACCGTAAACTATGAGAAATGGGGTTTCACCAATTGCCCCTTTTTTAGTTGTCCGGATGGCCCATAGGACATGAATTAACTCTTCAACCCATAATCCTCCGGCTCTTTGAATTTTCTTTTTGATACCGTCTGATGAGATGAGTTTTTTGAAGGCTTCAACTTGGCCGTTTTCTTGAGGTCGGCCGACTGATGCAAAACAATGTGAGATCCCTTGATCTCCCAACCTAGTTTTAAGCTTAGGCGTCTCAAATTGAGGTCCATTATCAAATACCATAGACATAGGTACCCCAAACCGGGTGATAATGTTCTTCAAGATGAAGGAGATGAAATCCTTTGTCTTGATGCATTTGACCACCTCTGCTTCCACCCACTTGGGGAAATAATCCACAACCAATAGAATATAGCGTTTTCTGCCTAGTAGAGGCGTATACGGACATAGAATGTCCATGCCCCATTTAGCAAACGGGACTAGGATTTGAATCGTCGCCAGGTCAGTAGCCGGGCGCACTAGTGGAAAAAAGGCCATCCGTAACAGGAAAAAACTGCCCATCAGTAACGGGCAGCGACCGTTACGTATGCAGACGTTACGGATGGCCTTTCTTATTCGTAACGGGCACCGTCCGTTATGAATAACAGGTTATTCATAACGGGCACCAGAAAAGCCCGTTACGAATAACCCATTTTTAGTAACAGGCATTTATGTTACCCAATACGAATAATGGGTTATTCGTAATGGGCACCTGGTTATTCATAACGAGATTTTTAGGTGCCCCTTACGAATAACCTATTATTCGCAACGGGCATTTCAGGTGCCTGTTACGAATAACGGGGTTATTTATAACGGATAGGTTCTGCCCGTTACAAATATTATGAGATCCAATTATAAAAAATCCAGCACATGTTGGACAGCTAGCTTGCAATATATATATATATATATATATATATATATATATATATATATATATATATATATATATATATATATATATATATATATAATGTATACACTTCATAATTAACAAGTAATATACAATCAGCAAAAGCTGCTTTAATTATTTCTTAATAACTAAAACTAAAACAAAAAACCTTTAAAAAAAACAAGCATTTTAATGACAAACAAAATCTCTTATAGTGCCAGAATCCCCACAATAACCGTTACAATCAGTACCAAAATGCCCTAATTGAGCCTTAGGAAATAACAATTACTAAAATTTGAGGAATTTGGCGAATTCTGGGTTTAGTTGCACCAAATTTCTTAGAATCGTAGGAAAAGAGACCACGGGCAAAAGATCATGATTAAATATAATTTCACTTATATATCTGATTCGTGATATGTTTGTTTATCTTCCAAAAATCTTCCTCATTAAAAAGAATTGTGGGGGTCTCTAGCCTTTATTGACCACACCAGAGAGGCGAGAAGACCTTAAGAGCAGTCAATCAACTCCTGCGCTGTGATACACACCTGAATAGAATACCGTAAGAGAGGGTTAGTTCTGTTATATTGAAGTTAAGACTTCATAATACAACACAACTACATAAATAAATTAAATGACTACTCGTACTCTGTACCATTGAATATGGAGAATTGATCAGTAAATTGGTCATTGCCATTCCACATCATTCCTCCAATAAAAACTTGAGAACAACTGACAAAATCAGTTCAATCTGCAAAAAACAGCAAAGCACTTGAATAGTTTCATATAGTCAATATAGTTGTTCATAGGGTGGATAGAGTTTCCTTACACTAACCAAAATTGAAGATCCAATTTGTGAAGATAGAGAAAGGTGAGTGCAACACGAGAAAATCATAGCATAGGATGAACCAGGAACTCTGACCTCAGTACAATACAGAATGATTAGAATCGACAGAAAGCTAGCTTGAATGCAATAATTCAAGGCTAAAGGCACCAAATGAGTCTCTAACTCGCTATAAACCCACAAGTGACTAAAATTGGAAATAACGTTAGTCATATTCATTTAATAAATGCAGCAGTGTTAATTTTTGCTACAGCCAAAGCTCCAATGGCATTCCTCTTAAAAGAGTAAAAGACCTGGCATAGAAACTAAAACACTTCTTCTAGGACTGTTGTAACTTGAAAGGGTACAAAAATTAGATAAGATCGAAAGCCTCTTACGTTTACTATTTAGTTTATAGTTCTGTCACCTGCAAAACAGATCGTGATAAACTAGGGAAGAAAATTTAAAATAGAAAGTGAATAAACATGCACAAAGCAACATAGCACTATTAGATTAGCTAACAGCAGTCAAGCCGTTTAACATTAGTATATATGTCAGGCACATGTAACTTACGTTGCAAAGTCCGTCACAATTAAAAACTTGTCATAGTGAAACACATGAAAATGAGAAAGAAAAATGCCAGAGCGAATCTCTCAAAAGCTCTAAAATATAAGGAACGTCCATAGCTATAGCGTGTGAATTTCTAACACACATCAGAATCAGATAGTTCATCACTATTGAAAATAGGAGTATATAAGAATACTTGAGCCATGTTAACAAGTATTGATCACTGAAGCCTTTTCTACATCCTCCATGATTAAATAAGAATTTCAAGCCACGCCTCTAATACACCCATTTACACTTTATAGGTGCTTGTCCTTGCATGTCTAACTGCTAAGGACAATACATAGTAATCCACTAATCCAACCACACTATTATTCACTAATACTTCAGACTCTAAAGTAAAAAATATTATAAAGGTCTGGTTCAAGTTCTTTACAGGTTAGAAGATAGTGCATTGACAATCGCTAGAAGATGCAATAGCTGCAACAACTAACTACTATGGAACATTTGAAGGTCAGAAGATAGCTTATTGAAAATCCGTAAAAGAGTAGCTGCATCATTATCTAACTAGTAACTACAGTGGAACACTCTGGGATATGCACACAGAATTTCATCAATCTGGTGGTAAAATAATGTCGAATTGACTCGAATTTAAAATTTAAAACTATTAAATCAAACCCGATGACATTGTAGTATAATGCAACAATCCATAGCTGGGTGTATTCATCATTTTTAAACTATTAAAAAAACAAAACTCCATAGAGCTCAAAATACTACCTCCAAGCCCAAAGGTTCAACTCAATGCTTCACTGACCCTGTGCCCTGTCTGTCTAAGTCACATGGACGGATGGACCTTCTCCTTTCCCCAGAAATCCCATACATAAATCTAAATTGGCATAAAAATTATAGCAATAGGAGAATTTAATTCCCATAGAAAAAGAGACACTCAAAACTTGGAAAGGGACACTGGAAGATGCATAACAGTCTTGCATAAACATATCCCAGCAACAGCAACAACAACAACAAAGCCTTTATTAATGAAAAAAAAGGTTGAATGTAGAAAACTCTATACCTACTAATTGACTCTGTTGCTATACTTCAACCTCCATTTTCCTTTACAATAGCACAATGGGGTCTTCTACAGTATCTGTTTAGCAAACTAAGCTCTTATCAAAATTTTTGTTAATTCCAAACTTAAAATGAAAATTAATCCCTTAAATTGAATAGTGAACTTTTAAAACCCCAATTCATGCGTGAAATGAATAAAATAAAAGGAAAATTTTGAGTGATTCTAAATATAATTTTATTTCTCAATTTGTGATCAAACATTGGTATTGCCGCAATCTCCATTCCTAGTGCCACAGACACAAGTCTACAATAATGATGCAATCACAAGCATTGAAGCTGAGCTGGAAGAATCAAGCATGAGAGCAGCTGAGGTGGAGCAAGGTGAGCTGGAATGTAACAGTGAAAAAGCAGCTGGAGAGGAGGGAGGAAAAGGACTGACAGTTGTCCAAGAGAAGGGAATGAGCACTAAAGTTGAGGAGAATAATTCTAAGAATAGTACTGAAAGCTGTTTTTTGTTTTCTAGCTGATTTGTCCAATTACTAGCCGTTATGCTATTTTGTCTTTTGTAAGCTGAGCTTATCAGCAATCTTCAAGGCTATTTAAGCCAATTCTCTTGTAAGAATGATTATGCTTAATTAATGAAATCAACTCCTCTTTTCTGATTATCCTCTCTCTCTCTAAACTCTCTATTTGTGTTACATCAATTATTTCCACCAAAACCGCCCTGCTTTCCTTTGGCTGGTTTTCTGGTATAATTGCCAAGTCTCCATTTTGCTTTGCAAAATCAGACTTGTTCCTCTAGAGCTATCATTGGTACAGAGCAGTACTTTCCTTGGCTTAACAGTCACCATGCCTATCACTAGGTCTTCCTCAGACTCAGCTCATCTAGGAAACACTGAGATCAAAAAGCTTGAGCAAACTATGAAATCATTGCTGCAGGATCAGGGTAGGAAGTTGGATAATGCGTGCAGAACCAACAGCCTCAATATTGATAAGAACTGTAAGTCGATTTCTGAGCTCAATGATCTTATGCTAGGTCTACCTGTTCAGATTACTAAGTTGATATCTAATGGCAATAATATACCTAGATCTGGCTTAGAAACTCATGAACCAGAACCCCCACCTAAACACTCTCAGTACTTAACTAGACTAACTAAGGTGGAATTCCCAAAATTTAATGGTTTAGATCTGAAATCATGGATTTTTAAGTGTAATCAATTCTTTGACCTGGATAGTGTGAAGGATTTTGATAAAGTAAAACTTGTTGCCATTCACCTGAAAGATAAGGCATTAATTTGGCACCAGACCTGTATTTAGAGAAAAAATCACATCTTACCTAAGTGGGAGAATTATGTGAAGGATATAACAGCTAGGTTTGGGGATCTCTATGATGATCCAATGGCAGATCTAAAATCCCTAAAACAGACAGGTAGTGTACAAGAATATCATGATTCCTTTGATGCACTAGCTAGCAGAATTGAGTTATCTGAGCCCTATTTACTTAGTTGCTACCTAGCTGGCCTGGAGGAGGAGGTTCAACTTGCAGTAAGAATGTTCAATTCCACCACCCTTCAACAAGCTTTGTGCTTAGCTAAACTGCAGGAAGCTGCTAGTAAGGCTAAGAAACCCAAACCATCAACCCCACTCCAAAAACAACCACCCTTATTGCCCACCCCACCTCAAACACTCAAAACAGCCACCCAAACCTTCAAAACCAATAACCAGATTCAACCTTATACACCAAACAAATCATTCACAAATCCAACCACCACCTCAAAAATCCCAAACACCAATAGAAGAACCCTAACCTCAGCTAAATTTACTGACAAAAGAGCCAAAAACCAATGTTTTTGGTGTGATGAGAGGTATGAACTAGGACACAAATGCAAGGGTAAGAAGCCACAACTTTACCACATTGAGGTGGAGGAAGTAGAAGAAGAAGATGAGGTGCTAGAAGAAGAAACACAGGAAGGTTCACAATGTGCACACATCTCTGTTCAAGCTATGGATGGAGTTGCTTCTTTCCTGACAATGAGAGTGGAAGGGCATCATGGGAAGAAAAAATTACAGCTTCTCTTGGATAGTGGCATCACCCACAATTTTATAGATGCCAACAAGGCATTGAAACTTGATTGCAAGGTGGAGAGTATCACACCACTCTGGGTTAAGGTAGAAGATGGTAATCAACTCAAATGTGAGCAGATTATTCATGGTTTCAAATGGAAGATGCAAGGGATTGCATTTTCTGCAGATGTCTTTTTACTACCTTTGAGTGGTAGTGACCTAGTTTTGGGCATTCAATGGTTTTCTCAACTAGGTCCTGTACTTAAGGATTTTGGTAAACTCACCATGGAGTTTAAATATAGTGGCAAGAAAGTTAAGCTCAGAGGTTCATCACCTAAGAGTTGGAAAATTGTTTTACCTCAGAAATTGCAGAAGCTCTTAGCTCAAGAAGGAACTCTGTCAATGATGCAAATTCTGCAAGGGAGTGTGGAGTATTCACCTGTCAGTCTGCAAACTACATCCCAAGACCCTAACTTTTTGTCCTTGTGGACCAGTTTGAGATGGTTTTTCAACCCATTCAAGGGTTACCACCACCAAGGGAGGGGTTTGATCATGTCATTCCCCTAAAGGAAGGGACAAATGCCATCAACTTAAGAGCTTACAGGTATCCAGCTATGCAGAAAAATGTAATTGAAGAGATGGTGCAGGAGCTGCTTGCGCAAGGGGTTATAAGACCTAGCAACAGCCCATTTGCCTCCCCAATTGTGCTAGTGAAGAAAAAAGATGGAGGATGGGGAATGTGTGTCGATTATAGACACATAAATAAGGCCACAATCAATGATAGATTTCTAATTCCTTTAATTGAGGAATTGCTAGATGAATTACAGGGCACAAAATTCTTTTCTAAGATTGATCTCAAATTAAATCGGGTTATCATAAAATCAGAATGAACCCAAGTGACATACAGAAGACTGCTTTCAAGACTCACTCTGGTCACTTTGAGTATTTGGTAATGCCATTTGGCTTAACCAATGCTCCCTCTACCTTTCAGGCTCTAATCAACCAGCTATTTAAACCCTTGCTAAGGAAGAGTGTTCTTGTCTTTTATATGACATTCTGGTCTACAATCCATCTTGGGTTGCTCACCTCAAGGATTTGGAAGCTGTCTTGAGCATAATGAAGAATAATCAGCTACATGCCAACCTCAAAAAGTGTTCTTTTGGATTGACTGAAATCCATTACCTAGGGCATGTAATCTCTCAATATGGGGTAGCAACTGACCCAAAAAAGGTGCAGGCAATGTTAGAATGGCGTAGACCAAAAACACTCAAGCACCTAAGAGGTTTTCTTGGGTTAACTGGCTACTATAAAAGGTTTATAAAGGATTATGGCATAATCTATAAACCTCTCACCTCACTTTTGAAAAAAGACAACTTCACATGGACTGAGGATGCTGAAAACTCATTTAACCAGCTCAAGACTGTCATCACCACACCCCCAGTCCTTGCCATGCCAGATTTTTCTAAACCTTTCATTATAGAGACAGATACCTCGGGCAAGGGAATCGGTGCAGTTTTACTCCAAGAAGGACATCCTGTCAGCTTCTTAAGTAAAGCTCTTAAGTGACAAAAATATGTTGTTATCAGCATATGAGAGAGAGCTCTTGGCTGTGGTGTTTGCAGTAAGGAAGTGACAATATTATCTGCTATCTCAACCTTTTATAATTAAAACAGATCAACAGAGCCTTAAATACTTGCTAGAGCATAAGCTGGCAACTCCCTTCCAGCAGAAATGAATGTCTAAACTCACAGGTTTTGACTACACTGTTGAGTATGAATCGGGTGCTGAGAACAGGGCAACTGATGCCCTATCTAGGATCCCTGGTTATCAGCTAAATGTTATCGCCATTTCTAGTGTGCACTCTGAGCTTATGGATCAATTAAAGCAATGTTGGGAGAAGGAAGAAAGTCTGCAAAAAATTATTTCAGAACTGCAGCAGAATGCTCACTCCCACAAGCATTTCTCTTGGGACAATCTATGTCTTAAAAGGAAAGGGAAGCTGGTTGTAGGTGCTTCACCAGCTTTAAGGGAGAGAATACTTAATTGGCTGCATGACTCACCCCAAGGTGGGAATTCTGGGACAGAAGCCACCTATCAGAGAGTTAAGAGCTTGTTTTACTGGAAGGGCAAGAAAGGAGGTATTAGATCTTATGTGAGGAAGTGTGGGGTCTGTCAAAGGTGTAAGTATGACCCTCAAGCTTACCCAGGACTTCTACACCCTTTGCCCATTCCTAAAGCTATTTGGGAGGATGTCACAATGGATTTCATAGAGGGCCTTTCGAACTCATTTGGTAAGGAAGTGATTATTGATTAGGGGATTTTTATCCACCAAGCGCCGTTTGACAAGTGGACCAACCAGGTTCCGCCACGCGTCCTCCACGGACCACTTAAGACACGCCACGTGTCCACCCATGCCAAATGGGACAACCGGCCATCAAGGCCCATTTCAGTCTAGAAGCCCGTTCGGCCCTAGGTTTACCTTAAACCTAGAGAGTTGCACGCTTCCCAAGGCTATAAATACTCGATTAATCCTCATTAATCAAGGGACCGAATAATTTACGGAACACACTAATAACCGGCTGATCTCGCTAGCAAAGCAGATTACCTACATTAAATACTCTCACCTAGAGAGACCTTATTACTTTAATTTCTGTATTAATTACTCCTTAATCAGGTACTAACTTGACCGTTGGAGGCGGAGCTCTCAGGAGTCTCCGTTATTTTGCAGGTACAGGCGTCCGGTTCCAGTCTCGGAATTGTAACTCTCCCGCAGGACATCAGAAAACCCCGAAACATTTGGCGCCGTCTGTGGGGAGAGTACTTCAGAGATGGCATCCAAGTCTGTACCGACCCCAGAAGAGAGGCGTCCCCTAGACGACCCTCAAGTTCAGTCGGACCATGATACCGAAAGTGAATTTGAAGTTGAAACTCATACAGCTCCAGACGGGACCCTAAGGGCCCGCCGTACCCGTCATACTGAAATAAGGGAACGGGAGTATCTTCAAACAGGAAGCGAGCCAGCAGGCGCACCGCTTGCTCGGCAACAGCCGACTGATGGGTCTGCTCCGATCACAAGGAACGAACTCATGACCTTCATGAGGGGATTCAAGGGAGAGATCCAAGAGTTGATCAATAAAAAACCGCCTGCTTCAGTCAAAGAGCAGGCGGCCAAAAAACCTTCCACTTCACTGAAGAGGAAGCCAGTTCAAGGGCGAGAGGCGACTCCCCATCCTAAATCTAAGAAGCGGGAGCCGTCTGCTCTTGATTTCACAAAACTCCGTTATCCTACGGGAAGTAGGAAACCGGTTCGTCATATTCAGGCGGACGGGTCAAAGCAAACGTTCACAGATGCTCGGCACCTGCTAGAGCAGAAGAAGAGTGACCGATTATCAGAGTCGGCTTCTACTTCAAATTTTCAGGACAGTTTGCGAAATGCCTCGATGAGGCCAACTCAGTCGTACCATGAGAGTCAGTCAGGCGGCACCTCCCGTCAGTCTGGCTTTCATAGTGCGCAGGCGGTGCCAAATTTGCCATTTGTGCCGCAACAACAATATTTTATGCAGCCACCTCCATTTGGTGGACCTGCAGCAAAAAACGTCCAACCTATGGACTGGCAGCTACGGCTGCTTAGACTTGGTGAACAGCCGTCGGCCTTCTCCAAGGAAATTACTGAAGCCGCTCAGCCGGCCAAAGTAAAAAATGTTTTAGTAGGCGCCTATGATGGCACTACTAACCCGGAAGACCATCTGATGGCATTCACCAACCTGATGTACCTTCAAGGGTTGGATGATCCCACTTGGTGCAAGTGTTTCCCAGCAACTCTCAAGGGAATTGCACAGCAATGGTTCGGCAACCTGCCGACTGGTTGTGTAAACAGTTTCAGGACGCTTGCTTACTTATTTGCCTCCAACTTTGCAATGAACATCCCTGCGAAGAAAACGACCCTTGATTTGGGAACAATTCAGCAGGGTGAAAAGGAGGGGCTTCGTTCCTACATCAGGCGGTTCAACCTGATGAGAATACAGATTCAAGGGTTACCGGATGAGGTAGCTTATACTGACTTTTTTAGAGGTCTCAAAGACGGGTCTACCTTCAAATTTGATTTAGTTCGAAAAAGGGTGGCGACTCTTCAAGAGGCCTTGATTGAAGCAGAAGCCTATATACAGGCGACTGATCTGTGTACAATGAAACAGTCGGACGGGAAGAGGTTCGACAATAGAGAAGGACGACAGAAACAGTCGTCCAACAAAGATGAAAAAAGAAAAGGGGTCTGGGCGGCTGATTCCTCTAAACAGCCGGCCAAGAAGAAAAAGGAATTCAAACCATACTCCCCAAAGTATGTGTTTAACAAGGATAACCAGTTTATCCTAAAAGAAATAAAGGGACGGCTCTCAATTGAGAAACCGCTCCCCATGAAGGGTTCTGCGAGCAACCGGAACCAAGACAAAATCTGTGCTTATCATGATGACATTGGTCATCACACCAATGACTGCATTAGTCTCATGCGGTACCTAGACCGCTTGGCTGATCAAGGTGATCTTGACACTTATGTCAAGAAATCTACGGGGAATACTTCCTCAAAAAAGCAGTCGGCCAAAAAGAATCAACAGGCCGACAGTTCCGATACAGATGATGCAGTCGTCTACACCATTGCAGGCGGCTTCTCAGGAGGCGGCCCCACTATTAGGGGCAACAAAGATAATATAAGGCGGTTAGATGTAAATTCCGTTCACCAAGAACGACCGTCCAAATATACATTTCCTGAGATTGTCATCACTGAAGAGGATCTAGGAGGAATAAGGGGGCCGCATGACGACCCTCTCGTTATTGAATGTAAAGTGGCCAACCAGAGAGTTGGTCGAATCCTCATAGATACTGGGAGCTCTTCAGATCTCATCAGCAGCAAATGTCTGTCAAAACTGAAATATCAGACGGACTGCATACATCCGGCCTCCCACCCTTTAATAGGGTTTGGAGGAGGAGTCGTCCACCCACTGGGACGAGTTGATCTACCCGTCCGCCTGGGCGAAAAAGGGGAAGGACGACACATGGTAGTCCGATTCCTAGTTGTAGAGGAACTCTCTGCCTACAACATGATTCTGGGTCGCCCAACCCTGAATAGTGCCAAGGCTGTTATAATCCCGTCACTTATGCTGCTTAAGTTTGAAAGGGACAATGGAACAGTCGGCTCCCTAAGGGGAGATCAGAGGATGGCCCGAGAATGCTATCTCTCGGATGTCAAACCCACTGCTAAGGCCACTGGGTCAAGTGGAGAAAAAACAGACCTTGACAATGTCAAGGAAAGTGCGCCTGTTCAAGAAACAGGCGACAGAAAAAGAAAGGCGTCCCAGACAGAGTCCGCCAGAAAGGCAAGAAAATAGCAATCATTGGCAGAGGACCGGCCGGATGAGTTCCGCCCTCAGCCGGCTGGTGAGCATACGGACCTGATATTAGACGACTCCCGCCCTGACCGAACAGTCAAAGTTGGGACGACTGCTCTGAGAAACCTTGGTGATGACTTTCACAACCTGTTGAAAGAATACAAGGACATCTTTGCATTTGAAGTCCATGAAATGCCAGGCATTAGTCCTGATCTGGCAGTACACAAACTCGCTGTGGATCCGAAAAAGAAGCCGGTACGGCAAAAGAAGCGGAACCATGGTGAAGAAAGAGGTCAGGCGGCCGCCGCCGAAGTCAAAAAATTACTTGATGCAGGGTTCATTCGGCAATGTTACTTCCCAGATTGGGTTGCAAATGTGGTACTCGTTAAAAAGCCGAATGGCACCTGGCGAATGTGTGTAGACTACACAGACTTGAACAAGGCGTGCCCCAAAGACAGTTACCCTCTGCCAAAATTGATAACCTGGTCGACTCAACAGCCGGCCATGCCTTGATGAGTTT